ACATGTATCCGTGTGGGTATATACATGTATCCGTGTGGGTATATACATGTATCCGTGTGGGTATATACATGTATCCATGTGGGTATATGAACGTGAAGGCAGATGCCCATGGAGGCCAGTGGTGTCACCTCTTGATGCAACAGGCGTTTGGCTCCTGCCATGTCTACAAATGCAGGCAGGATTTGTATTATACCATAGAACTGATAAGCGTAGGATCATTATGCAGTATGGCTTCCCATATTTCTCCACACGCCCTCACATCTATGCTTACCTCCTTCTGGGGACTTAATAAAGCTGATGAGTTCCTGACAGAGAATGTAATGAAAACACAAGTCGGTTTTGCAGAAGAAAGGTAACCGGTATTTTTCCAACCAGGTCAATAAGCCTTTGTACTTGGCAACCTAGAGTTTAAACAAAATGACAGAAAGATAAACAGAACTGAGCCCTTCAGAAATGCAATACAGAAAGGGAAATCAAGTCATGTTGTATTTGCCATATCTGGCTGGAAGGAGAAGTATGCTGATTAAAAGTTATGCCTAAAGGGAGTGGAGACTTGAGCTGACATTCCCAAAGATGAAAGTTGCTAAGTTGAAAATAAAAAATTAAAGCACACGCACATACAAAACAAACAAACAAAAACTGATGTGTCTTCAGAAGGTTTTCCTTATTTCCAAGTTTGTTTAAGAATTTGTTTAAGAAAACAGCTATGTTTTGTTTGAAAAAAAAAAAAAAGAGGAATAGCAAAACTCTTGTTCTGTGATGTCAGGTTCAACTCTACTAACTTGCTTCTTTTTTTCAAAATAATTTCTCATAAAAGCCCAACCCATATCAACTGCACAAAGAAGCCAAGTGTGAAGGTGCATACTTTTAATTCCAGCTCCTATCAGGAGACTCATGAGTTCTAGTCTAGCCTGAGCAACATAGTAAGTTCCTCTTTCAACAACTACACAAACACATAGAAAAAACATACACATACCACCATTTAGAGGAGGCAGGGGTGGGGGTGGGGGAGGATCCCGAGGGACAGTCTACCAAAGAAAGAAAAAAAAGCAAAGTTTTGAATCATAGGGGAGAAACCAAATACAACAATTGAAGTAGGCTGGCTCCTCTCAGGTCTCTAGAACTCAGAGAGAAACAAACTCCTGCTGTGAGGAGCCAGGCTCAGTGTGAGCTCTCCAGTAACACACACTTCTAGCATAGAACAGAAACCCACTGGCAGGTCTAAAGTCTACACAATGGAAAAAGAGATGAGAAGAATAATTTGTAAGGAAAAGGGAAAGAAACAAGGTGACGAAAAGTAAGAGAAAGACGTGCTTTGAGAAGAGAGAGGCATCTGGCCTTGGGCTGTGCCTACAGTGCGCAGCTGGCCACAGCTGTCACAGCTGTGGCCCAGGTGTCCCACCCCACACGGTGTCGACTAAGCCTTAGATTCTTTCTTGCTTAGGTGTGTGACCTCAGACTTCTTCTCAGCATCGTGTCCAAGCATCTCCTCCCCAACCATCACGGCAGGCATGAGAGATTCCCTAGCGGTCGACTAGACTACCAAGAGAGAACTCAGCAGCAATTGCTTGTTCTGGGGTGGGTAAAGCTGCGAGCTGTCTCCCTGGCTGAACGCTACTTCTTCTCCTCACCTGCTTTACATCTTCTTCCATGGTCACCCTCTACATGTCTTCCTCCTTCCCATTTCCAAATTCTTCAAATACCCACCCACCCCCGAACCTTTTGCCATTCAAGAATCTTACCAAGTCATAAGGTATGTCTGGCCACAAGGTCCACTGTGAATTCTCAACATTGTAAAATGGTGTCTGACCAAAGACCTGCAAAAGAAAATGTGACGATTTGAATAAGAAGACCCCTCCATAAGTGCGGTCCCGATGGACACATCTACAAAACACTCCCACACTTACGGCTCAGGGAACACGGTGTAAGAAGGGGCGGGAAGATTATAAGAGCCAGAGGAGGAGGAGGGACTTGGCTGTGAGGTTGTGTCTGATTGTGACATCAGAAGTTGTACTCGTAAGTCTCGCCAACCTGACTGCCTAACTGTGAGCTGAACAAGGAGGACAAAACGAACATGCCAAAGTGGACGGGGAGGCTCAGCCCACACAAACAACTACAGGAGACCGTGAAACACTGGAAGTGGGGAGGTGGTCCTGCCTGGGAAGAGCACACCAAATGGTTGAACAGTGCCAAACGGTCAGTCCTGAAAATATACATACAAGTAACATTATATGGATGGAACAAGTTCTATTTAGGAATATGTGTGTGTATATAAATACACATATGCATGCAATAACAATTGGTAAAAAAAAAAAAAGGCCATGAATTTGAAGGAGTGGAGGAGGGGTTTATGGAACAATTTGGAGGGAAGAAAGGAAGGGAGATACATTGTAATTAAAACACAGTCTCAACAACAACAACAACAAACAACAACAACAACAACAGGATATTGTCCATAGGCTCAGATATTTGAGTGTTTGGTCTCCAGTTATCAGTGGCACTGTTTGGGTAGCTTTAGATGGTGTGGCCTTGTTGAAGGAAGGATGCCAGTAGAGGTGGGCTTTGAACTTTCAAAGCCATGCACCTCTCCCAGCTCTCTCCCCCTCCTCTCTCTCCTGTCTCCTCTCCCTTTCTGTCTTCTGTGGTTGAGGCTCAGGATGTGACCCCCAGCTTCCACCCCAGTCGCCACGCCCGCCTCCTGCTGCCTCCTCTCCACCCTCATGGACTCTCATCCCTTTGGAACCATTAGCCACAATCAACCTTTTCTTTCTTAAGTTGCCCTGGTCATGGCGTTTTATCACAGAAATGGGAAAGCAACTAGTTCAAAAAGCTAAAAAAAAATAACCTCCCAAAGCAGAAGAAATCTTCACACAAACAGCAAGTTTCATCTGCAGCGGCCACGGGGGAAGAGAGGCTCCCCGACACTACTATTTCAAGAGCCATTAATTCTCATTTCCCCGCCATTAACAGCTCTCCCTGCACAAGAACATTAAGTTGACTTAATTCCACGATTCCCTTTCATTTGGATATACCCTGCGTAGACCTGGGAGCTACCTTGCTTGTAGGTAAAGCTAAGACTCTTGATAGTAGTATGTATTTACCAATGCATTGCAATACTTACCTTCTTGTGGACTTAGAAAGAGAAAACAAAGGCCTAAATATTTTTCTAATTAGAGATAGCTTTTATATCTGCCTAGACCCCTGGCTAGAATGCCACTTTCCCATATCACTGTTTCAAGAACATCACTGTGAACTATGTAAATTGTATTAGTGAGTTGGATAATTAACATGTCTCAAATGGCTCCTGAGAACTGAGACAGTGTCAGAGACAAGAAAATATTCTGGATAGGAAAGGCAGGCTTCGGATTTATGATTTGATTGGGAAGTTCCAGGAGACTTGAGAGCTGGTTCTGGTTCCTGTTTATTTGCTCAGATTAAATTCAGGGCCATCAAGGTAACTCAGTACTTAAAGCTCCAATCCACCAACCTCGTGACCCGGATTTGACCGTTGGGTCCCACATGGTGGAGGGAGAGGACTGACTCTCACAAGTTTCATTTTTATCTCCACACAAGCATGGTGTTTGCATTTGAGACGCACGCATGCACACACGCACGCACGCACGCACACACACGCATGCACGCACGCATGCACGCACGCACACAATAAATATAATAAATTTTAAAACAGAAAAAAAAATCTCAATTTGAAAAAGAAACTAATAAAACAGAACAGACACTTAGGCAATGTCAATGGAATGTTTGGATTCAGGGCTGAGAATGCTTACCGGGAGAGAAAGAAATGTGTTGAAAAAATCAGCAAAGATTTCATCCTCCAAAAGAATGATAAGATTTGTAGAACCGATGATCTCTGCATGTGGAGAAAACAAAACAAAACAGCCATGATGGGGTCGTGTCTGATGGAGAAAACAAAGGGGCTGGACAGGTGACTACATGCCAGGTCTCAGCACGGTGGCCTTTAGATCTGACCCCTTGGCCCTCCTCCAGGGCCCTCTCTTCATATTTACTCTTAGATATCCCTAGCTGTGGGGAACTCACCACCTTACACAGCAGCCTATTCAATTTACGAAGAGATGAAAACCAAGAGTTTTTTTTGGGGGGTGGGGTGGGGTTGTTTTTTAATCTCCCTGTGCACGGCCTTTACCTTCCGCTTGGGGGCAGTCTGCCCTTCGCAGTGTAACAGGACTCACCCAAATCCCCTTACACAGGACCGGGACCCCAGCCTCTCAGAACCCCCTTCCCCCCAGCCTTCCACTCCTCTCCATCTCTCGTGATGGCCTTTTTTCTTACCCACTTCCTCTCTCATTGGCTGGAGCTGCCCCAATAACCCAAGCACCATAGACGCTTCCCAGGGTGGTGCCCAGAAGAACACTGCCTATGTGTAAGCATGTGATATTAGTGCGTCCGGAGTCAGGGGGCTCTCACGTGACACTGTTACCTCCACCATCCTTAATCTGTTGCCTTTCAGAAAACAAGGGAAGGAATTTGTGTGTGTTCCAGTAGAAATTCACCTGGCTTATTTAGGCCTAGTACTCTAGCTTTCTTAGATACTGACTTGCACTGGTGAATCATTTGTTCCTTGGCTCAAATATGATACTTGTTTTGTTCATCAGAAGACATGGATGCTAAATGTGGGCTGGTGAGGTGGCTCATGGGTAAAGGCACCTGCCACCAAGCCTGATGACCTGAGTCGGGGGAGGGACAACGCACTCCTCCGAGCTGTCCTCTGACAGACACATGCGTGCAGCACACACAAGAAATAAAAACCGTAAAATAATAAAATAAATGCTAAATGTCATAAAGCCTAGCGTGAGGCTAGATGACCCCTTTAAGGTTGTTCCAACTCACTGCCTAAGCTATTGATGGATTGATTGACTGATTGACAGAATTTTGAGGCAAGGACTTGCTGTCTGGCTCAGGCTAGCCTAGAACTCATTATGTAGCTCAGAGTGGCCTCAAATCAGCCACGTGGTGGTGGCACACACCTTTAATCCCAGCACTCAGGAGGCAGAGGTAGGTGGATTTCTGAGTTCGAGGCCGGCCTGGTCTACAGAGTGAGTTCCAGGACAACCAGGGCTACACAGAGAAACCCTGTCTCCAAAAAAAATAAATAAAAAAAAAAAATTTTAAAAAGAGAAAAGAAAAGAAAGAAAGAAAGAACAAACAAATAAACACCCCCCCCCCAAAGAAAAAAGATAAGAGAGAAGGAAAAAATTAAATAAAACTCACAATAATTCTGCCTTAGCTTCTCAAGTGCTCACTACAGGTGTGAGCCACCATGGCAGGATTTGTCTATGCTTTTTAGACCTGAAGGTTTAGTGAATAACAAACTAATGGCTGTATCAGTAGACCAACAGTTTCCTATCACACCCAAGGTTTATAATGAACAATGATCAAAGGATAATCTAAATAACCCAAACTAGGCCCATGTCTCAGGATAGTTGAACATCTGATAAGAAAAATTAATGTCACCGAAATGCAGTTTTGGTAAGAAAACCAAGTGCAAAAGATGTAGCTCAGCTGATAGAGTGCTTGCCTGATGGTCATGAAGTCCTGGGTTCAATCCCCAGCCTTGAATAAACCAGGTATGATGGTTACAGGCCTGTAATCCTGACTCTTCAGGGTAAAGGAGGCAGGAGAATCAGGAGCTCAAGGTCACATTCATCTACATAGCAAATCTGAGGCCAGTTTAGACCATATGATCCTTTCTCCAAAAATAAAGTAAAATAAGATGATGATGATAATAATAAAATAATAACAATAATAGTAATAAAATTAAAAAATAAAATAACTTGGCATGGTAGTCCATGCTTTTAATCCTAGTACTCAGGAGACAGAGGCAGATCTATCTCTAAGTCTGAGACCAGGCTAAGGTACAGAGCAACTTTCAAAACAGCCAGGGCAATGTAGAGAAACAAAAAATTTTTGCAAACAAAAATAAACAAACAAACAAATAAATAAATAAGAAAGAAAGAATAAAGCCACCTGAGCAATAGCCTCTGGCATTTTCTCTCATGATTAAAATCAGGAAATGTTTATCTTTGAATAACAGAAACAGAAACCCAATCAAACTTGGCTGTGTGCAGCAGAGCTGGCATCGGCCCTCATCTTCTATCCCAGAGACAGCATCCTTTCCCGAACAGTACATTTCCCTAGTGTTTGCCTGTATCACCCACAAGGCCCTCTCTCCTTTTCCTGAGAGCACTTGATTTGTTTAATAATGACACACAGATCATCCCAAGGTCTGTGTGTTCAGACCAGGCATCTCCCTTTTCTTTTTCTCCTTTTCTTCTTTTTGTAACATGAATCTTAAAAGGTCTTATTAATAAAACAAACAAACAAAAAACCTGGAGCCAAATATTAAGGTGAAAGCTGAAAGATCAGAGAAACAGAACAAGCCAGCCACATTCTTACCTCCACGAAATTCCCAGCTTCAAGAGAGTGAGTTCCTGTTTCCTCATGCCGTATATACCTTTCTCTGCCCTGCCATCTTACTTCCGGGGAATAAAGGTGTGTGTGCTTCCCAAGCAAAGGCAGGAGATCTCAAGTGTTGGGATTAAAGGTTTCTCTCCTGAGTGATAGGATTAAGGGTGTGCGCCATCACTGTGTGGCCTCTATGTCTAATCTAGTAGCTGGCTCTGTCCTCTAATCCCCAGATAAGTTTTATTGGGGTGCATAATATATCACATCTTTTTTCTTTTTCATTTTATTTTGTCTTATTTTATTTATTTTTATTTCTCTTCTTCTCCTTTCTCCTCTTCCTCCTCCTCCTTCTTCTCCTTTTCCTCCCCTCCTCCCCCTCCTCCTCCCCCTCCCCCCTCTCCTCCTCCTCCCCCTC